CCCTAGGGTTCAGTGTCAGTTACAGAGGCTCATAGAGCCAGACTAAGGCTCCCCTAGGGTTCAGTGTCAAACACCGAGGCTCATAGAGCCAGACTAAGGCTCCCCTAGGGTGCAGTGTCAAACACCGAGGCTCATAGAGCCAGACTAAGTCTCCCCTAGGGTGCAGTGTCAGTTACAGAGGCTCATAGAGCCAGACTAAGACAAAACATATTTTAGGGGGGGTCTGACGCCGTGTGATAAGGGGGGGAGGGGGGTCAAAAATCGTCCAGAATCACGTGACGTGATTTATGGATTGCCCCTAATCGTCCCCGGTGTTGGCCGTGAGCGGGAATCGAACTCGGGTCACCGCCCGTTCGTAACGCAGCGACGCTAACCGCTACACGTACAACACCAACAGCCACCGTTCGCCACGAAGTTACGGTGCCAGGCTAGGTGCACTTTGAGGCGACCACGTGAAGTGTCGAAGGCCACGCTGCTGACAGGAGGAGGTCTTGGGACAGACCCAGCAGGTGCCATGGGTTGGCCGAGATGACTGGTAGATGCACCACCAGCTGTACCCCCTACTGTGCCAGGCTAGGTGCAGGAGGTCTCGGGACAGACCCAGCAGGTGCCATGGGTTACCCGACTGAGATGACCGGTAGATGCACCACCAGCTGTACCGCCCTACTGTGCCAGGCTAGGTGCAGGAGGGGGTCTCGGGACAGACCCAGCAGGTGCCATGGGTTACCCGACTGAGATGACCGGTAGATGCACCACCAGCTGTACCGCCCTACTGTGCCAGGCTAGGTGCAGGAGGGGGTCTCGGAACAGACCCAGCAGGTGCCATGGGTTGGCTGAGATGACCACTGGTAGATGCACCACCAGCTGTACCACCCTACTGTGCCAGGCTAGGTGCAGGAGGAGGTCTCGGGACAGACCCAGCAGGTGCCATGGGTTGCCCGACTGAGATGACCGGTAGATGCACCACCAGCTGTACCCCTACTGTGCCAGGCTAGGTGCAGGAGGTCTCGGGATAGACCCAGCAGGTGCCATGGGTTGGCTGACTGAGATGACCGGTAGATGCACCAGCAGCTGTACCCCTATTGTGCCAGTTGGCACAGTTGGAAAGCACGCATACACACACGCACAAATACGCACGCACACACACGGAGCGAAACCTTCATTTTTCGTGATTTTTATTCAATTTCAAAATCAACGCAAAAAACACTTTGTATGTTCCGGATCGTGAGAAATCCCCTTGCCAAGTGGAAGGCACATCCAGTAAAAACAAACAGCCAGAGCAGAGCCATCTGGTGGTGGTGGTTGGTTGTTTTCTCTTTAATAACAACTCACAACAACGCAAAAAGAAAGAAGAAAAACGTTCTAAGATTTCAAAAGCAAAGCCATCATCAATCACAGCACTACAACAACTAAATAAACATTCGTTACGGGGGGGGGGGCTCTTGGGTCTAAAGGTGGCGGACTCCCGGAATTATTCCCTCGGAGGCGGGATGGAGGAGTTGTGGGGGGGGGGGGTCCCCTTCCTGCTGGATCCACGCGACCAAGCTCGAAATTTCATCATCATCGTTGTCGTCATCATCGTTGTCGTCATCATCGTTGTCGTCATCATCGTCGTCGTCATGGTCGTCGCTGCTGCTGCAGCCGCAGCGGCAACACTTCTATCGTGTTTTGTGCGTATTGTGTTGCTGTCGTTGTAATGCTCTTACCCCGTGCCCACTACTGGACATCTGTGGGGGAAAGAGCTTTACAGCTCATCGGATTCTCTCCCGCAGTATAAGTACAATATTCTAAATCTGGAAGGGAAAAAAATATTCTTAACAGCAAAGCCGCATTTATCCGCGCCTGAACCAGAGGTAAAAGTTCGCTCGAGCGAGCACATAACCACCGGTACGGATCGTAACCACCTATATGGATCCTAACCACCAGTACGTATCATAACCACCTTTGTGGATCCTAACCACCGGTGCGGATCATAACCACCGGTAGGGATCCTAACCACCGGTACGGATCGTAACCACCTGTGTGAATCCTAACCACCGGTACGTATCGTAACCACCTTTGTGGATCCTAACCACCAGTACGTATCATAACCACCTTTGTGGATCCTAACCACCGGTACGGATCCTAACCACCGGTACGGATCCTAACCACCGGTGTGGATCCTAACCACCGGTAGGGATCCTAACCATCGGTAGGGATCGTAACCACGGTGTGTATCCTAACCACGGTGTGGATTCTAACCACCGGTACGTATCGTAACCACCTGTGTGGATCCTAACCACCGGTAGGGATCCTAACCACCGGTACGGATCCTAACCACCGGTGTGGATCCTAACCACCGGTAGGGATCCTAACCATCGGTAGGGATCGTAACCACGGTGTGTATCCTAACCACGGTACGGATCCTAACCACCAGTGCGGATCCTAACCACCGGTGTGGATCCTAACCACCGGTAGGGATCGTAACCACGGTGTGGGCCCTAACCACGGTGTGGATTCTAACCACCGGTACGTATCGTAACCACCTGTGTGGATCATAACCACGGTGTGTATCCTAACCACGGTACGTATCGTAACCACCTGTGTGGATCCTAACCACCGGTAGGGATCCTAACCACCGGTACGGATCCTAACCACCGGTGTGGATCCTAACCACCGGTAGGGATCCTAACCACCATTGTGTATCCTAACCACGGTACGGATCCTAACCACCAGTGCGGATCCTAACCACCGGTAGGGATCGTAGCCACGGTGTGGATCCTAACCACCGGTGTGGATCCTAACCACCGGTAAGGATCCTAACCACCGGTAGGGATCGTAACCACGGTGTGGATCCTAACCACCAGTGTGGATCCTAACCACCGGTAGGGATCGTAACCACGGTGTGGATCCTAACCACCGGTGTGGATCCTAACCACCGGTAGGGATCGTAACCACGGTGTGGATCCTAACCACCAGTGTGGATCCTAACCACCGGTAGGGATCGTAACCACGGTGTGGATCCTAACCACTGGTGTGGCAGCCCCACGCACAACGCGTCACGTGGCGACGGAACGGATCGCGGACAAATATCCCGCTGACAGGATAGGCCCCGCTGCGGACAGTCGCTCCAACCCAGATCACGTCGAGTCGCTCCAACCCAGATCACGTCGAGTCACTCAGACCCAGATCACGTCGAGTCACTCAAACCCAGATCACGTCGAGTCGCTCAGACCCAGATCATGTCGAGTCACTCAGACCCAGATCACGTCGAGTCACTCAGACCCAGATCACGTCGAGTCGCTCCAACCCAGATCACGTCGAGTCGCTCCAACCCAGATCACGTCGAGTCACTCAGACCCAGATCACGTCGAGTCACTCAGACCCAGATCACGTCGAGTCACTCAGACCCAGATCACGTCGAGTCACTCAGACCCAGATCACGTCGAGTCACTCAGACCCAGATCATGTCGAGTCACTCAGACCCAGATCACGTCGAGTCACTCAGACCCAGATCACGTCGAGTCACTCAGACCCAGATCACGTCGAGTCACTCAGACCCAGATCACGTCGAGTCACTCAGACCCAGATCACGTCGAGTCACTCAGACCCAGATCACGTCGAGTCACTCAGACCCAGATCACGTCGAGTCGCTCCAACCCAGATCACGTCGAGTCACTCAAACCCAGATCACGTCGAGTCACTCAGACCCAGATCACGTCGAGTCACTCAGACCCAGATCACGTCGAGTCACTCAGACCCAGATCACGTCGAGTCACTCAAACCCAGATCACGTCGAGTCGCTCAAACCCAGATCACGTCGAGTCACTCAGACCCAGATCACGTCGAGTCACTCAAACCCAGATCACGTCGAGTCACTCAGACCCAGATCACGACCCGGGGGTCGTGTGCCACCGGCGTCAGAGCACTAACTGGTTGTGTGGTTGGAGAGTAAACCCACTACATTTACAATTCAAGTAGCCATGACGTTTCGCCAGCAATTACAACAACAACCAGCATCATCAGGCGACACGCTGGGGTGGCAGAGGAGAAGCGCAGGTCACCTATCGTAGTTGCACTGCACTTCTATGCTCCCCCCCCCCCCCCACATTCTATCAGCCCACTCTAACCGGCGTGGTGATATATGGTGTGGGGGAGGCACGCATCTAGCAGTGGATTGAACAGGGATCTCTCTACTTGCACTGCCCTGGATCAATGCGGTAGTTATATCCCCGCGCAGTGGCACGCCTGCAAAGCTCTGCACTCATTCACCCGCACTTTCTTATACCTGCATCGCCACACATCTGCCTAGCTATAAACATGTATATCCAAATACCCATACAGCCACACACCTGCATAGGCGTACACACCTGTACAGGTGTACCCATGTACCATATACATGTCGCGTAGCATATGCATCACCTCTGCCATCAAGCACTACATCACTCAGCACCCACAGCTCCATCCTGTCTTCACCGACGACGCTCAAAAGTGCCGTAACTCGCCGTACCGACGCAACGGCTCTGACCCCGGCGATATCGAACCACGTTCGGTCAGTCACTGAGAGCCTGGACTCAAACGTAGACACACACTCAGACACACACACAGACAAAGATACAAGATCCCCCCCGTATAACCTGAACAGACTGTTGGGGCAACTATGAAGGCCGGCACATCACACGAGGGGGTGGGGTTGGCCAACACCGCGCCCGGCCGCCTTTGTCTCCCTCGTGGCGATGTTTACACATCGCACCAGGTACTCATTTGAGGCTGAGTCGACCTAGGGGGAGGCCCAGGACCCGGTGGAATAACCGTCACTGGCGTTGGCCATGAGCGGGAATCGAACTGGGGTCGCCGCTCGTTCGGGTCGGCACGGTCGCCTCAAGTCCGAGGGCCTTCATCCAGCAGTGGATGGACCGCGGCCAATGATGACGGCGATGACGACGATGATGCCGACGATGATGACGACGATGATGACGACGATGATGACGACGATGATGACGACGATGATGACGACACAGAACGTGACACCCCCCCCCCCCCCCCCCCATGGACGCGTTTCACTCGTACCGGGCCACTGCTGCCGGTGGCACTGATGGCTTTTGGGGCTTAGTTTGTTGGTCGCTGCTGCTGCTGCTGCTGCTGTTTGTTGTTGTTGTTGTTAGCCGCCGCCTGCTCCTCGCTGGCTGTCTTGTCCAGGATGTTCTGGATGAGGTTTGGAGGCACCCCCTGCAGCAGCATGTCCAGGATGCTCAGATTGCCTAAGCGGGGGGGGGGGGGGGCATAAAATAAATAAATAAATACGGGGATAACGGTGCATGTTCTGTGTTATAACGGTGAATGTTTCGCGTTGCAACGGTGAATGTTCTGCGTTATAACGGTGAATGTTCTGTGTTATAACGGTGCACGTTCTGCGTTATAACGGTGCACGTTCTGCGTTATAACGGTGCACGTTGTGTTATAACGGTGCACGTTGTGTGTTATAATGGTGAATGTTCTGCGTTATAACGGTGAATGTTCTGTGTTATAACGGTGCACGTTCTGCGTTATAACGGTGCACGTTCTGCGTTATAACGGTGCACGTTGAGTGTTATAACGGTGCACGTTCTGTGTTATAACGGTGCACGTTCTGAGTTATAACGGTGCACGTTGTGTTATAACGGTGCACGTTGTGTGTTATAATGGTGAATGTTCTGCGTTATAACGGTGAATGTTCTGTGTTATAACGGTGCACGTTCTGCGTTATAACGGTGCACGTTCTGCGTTATAACGGTGCACGTTCTGTGTTATAACGGTGCACGTTCAGTGTTATAACGGTGCACGTTCTGTGTTATAACGGTGCACGTTCTGCGTTATAACGGTGCACGTTGTGTTATAACGGTGCACGTTGTGTGTTATAACGGTGCGCATTCTGTGTTTTAACTGTGCAGGTTCTGCGTTATAACGGTGCACGTTCTGCGTTATAACGGTGCACGTTCTGCGTTATAACGGTGCACGTTGTGTTATAACGGTGCACGTTGTGTGTTATAACGGTGCGCATTCTGTGTTTTAACTGTGCAGGTTCTGCGTTATAACGGTGCACGTTCTGCGTTATAACGGTGCATGTTCTGCGTTATAACGGTGGTCGTTGTGCATTGTGCATTGTTCCATAACAGGAGAACGGCGTTATGGAGAAAATGCATTGTAGCGTGAAAACCGCTCGTTATAGCGACGACTTACCGTAAATAACCACAACAACAATGGAGAGAATACAAACTCCACTCATTCACTCACTCTGTAGAACAAGGGGAGAGAATACAAACTCCACTCACTCACTCTGTAGAACAGGGTGAGATCATACAAACCCCACTCACTCACTCTGTAGAACAGGGGGAGATCATACAAACCCCACTCACTCACTCTGTAGAACAGAGGGAGATCATACAAACTCCACTCACTCACTCTGTAAAACAGGGGGAGATCACACAAACTCCACTCACTCTGTAGAACAGGGGGAGATCATACAAACTCCACTCACTCACTCTGTAGGACAGGGGAAGATCATACAAACTCCACTCACTCACTCTGTAGAACAGGGGGAGATCATACAAACTCCACTCAATCTGTAGGACAGGGGGAGATCATACAAACTCAACTCACTCTATAGGACAGGGGGAGATCATACAAACTCCACTCAATCTGTAGAACAGGGGGAGATCATACAAACTCTACTGACTCACTCTACAGAACAGGGGGAGATCATACAAACTCCACTCATTCACTCACTCTGTAGAACAAGGGGAGAGAATACAAACTCCACTCACTCACTCTGTAGAACAGGAGGAGATCATACAAACTCCACTCACTCTGTAGAACAGGGGGAGATCATACAAACTCCACTCACTCACTCTGTAGAACAGGGGGAGATCATACAAACTCCACTCACTCACTCTGTATAACAGGGGGAGATCATACAAACTCCACTCATTCACTCACTCTGTAGAACAAGGGGAGAGAATACAAACCCCACTCACTCACTGTGTAGAACAGAGGAAGATCATACAATCTCCACTCACTCACTCTGTAGAACAGCGGGAGATCATACAAACTCCATTCACTCACTCTGTAGAACAGGGGGAGATCATACAAACTCCACTCACTCACTCTGTAGAACAGGGGGAGATCATACAAACTCCACTCATTCACTCTGTAGAACAGGAGGAGATCATACAAACTCCACTCACTCTGTAGAACAGGGGGAGATCATACAAACTCCACTCACTCACGCTGTAGAACAGGAGGAGATCATACAAACTCCACTCACTCTGTAGAACAGGGGGAGATCATACAAACTCCACTCACTCACTCTGTAGGACAGGGGAAGATCATACAAACTCCACTCACTCACTCTGTAGAACAGGGGGAGATCATACAAACTCCACTCACTCTGTAGAACAGGGGGAGATCATACAAAATCCACTCACTCACTCTGTGGAACAGGGGGAGATCATACAAACTCCACTCACTCACTCACTCTGTATAACAGGGGGAGATCATACAAACTCCACTCAATCACTCACTCTGTAGAACAGGGGGAGATGATACAACTCCACTCACTCACTCTGTGGAACGGGGGGAGATCATACAAACTCCACTCACTCACTCTGTAGAACAGGGGAAGATCATACAAACTCCACTCACTTGCTCTGTAGAACAGGGTGAGATCACACAAACTCCACTCACTCACTCTGTAGAACAGGGGGAGATCATACAACTCCACTCACTCACTTTGTAGAAGAGGGGGAGATCATACAAACTCCACTCACTCAGTAGAACAGGGGGAGATCATACAATCTCCCCTCACTCACTCTGTAGAACAGCGGGAGATCATACAAACTCCATTCACTCACTCTGTAGAATATGGGGAGATCATACAAACTCCACTCACTCACTCACTTTGTAGAATAGGGGGAGATCATACAAACTCCACTCACTCACTCTGTGGAACAGGGGGAGATCATACAAACTCCACTCACTCCCTTTGTAGAACAGGAGGAGATCATACAAACTCTACTCACTCACTCTGTAGAACATGAGGAGATCACACAAACTCCACTCACTCATTCTGTAGAACAGGGGGAGATCATACAAACTCCACTCACTCACTCTGTAGAACAGGGGGAGATCATACAAACTCCACTCACTCTGTATAACAGGGGGAGATCATACAAACTCCACTCACTCACTCTGTAGAACAGGGGGAGATCATACAAACTCCACTCACTCACTCTCTATAACAGGGGGAGATCATACAAACTCCACTCACTCACTCTGTGGAACAGGGGGAGATCATACAAACTCCACTCACTCACACTAGAACAGGGGGAGCTCATACAAACTCCACTCACTCACTCTACAGAACAGGGGGAGATCATACAAACCCCACTCACTCACTCACTCTGTAGAACAGGGGGAGATCATACAAAATCCACTCACTGACTATGTAGAACAGCGGGAGATCATACAAACTCCACTCACTCTCACTGCAGAACAGGGGGAGATCATACAAACTCCATTCACTCTCACTGCAGAACAGGGGGAGATCAAACAAACTCCACTCACTCTGTAGATCATGGGGAGATCATACAAATTTCACTCACTCTGTAGAACAGGGAGAGATCACACAAACTCCACTCACTCTGTGGAACAGGGGGAGATCACACAAACTACACTCACTCTGTGGAACAGGGGGAGATCATGTAAACTCCACTCACTTACTCACTCTGTGGAACAGGGGGAGATCATACAAACTCCACTCACTCTGTAGAATAGGGGGAGATCATACAAACTCCACTCGCTCACTCTGTAGAACAGGGGGAGATCATACAAACGCCACTCACTCGCTCTGAGTGAGTGGAGTTTGTATGATCTCCCCCTGTCCTACACTCTGTAGAACAGGGGGAGATCATACAAACTCCACTCACTCTGTATAACAGTGGGAGGTCATACAAACCCCACTCACTCACTCTGTGGAACAGGGGGAGATCATACAAACTCCACTCACTCACTCTAGAACAGGGGGAGCTCATACAAACTCTACTGACTCACTCTACAGAACAGGGGGAGATCATACAAACTCCACTCACTCACTCACTCTGTAGAACAGCGGGAGATCATACAAACTCCACTCACTCACTAGAACAGGGGGAGATCATACAAACTCCACTTGCTCACTCTGTAGAACAGGGGGAGCTCACACAAACTCCACTCACTCTGTGGAACCGGGGGAGATCATACAAACTCCACTCACTTACTCACTCTGTGGAACAGGGGGAGATCATACAAACTCCACTCACTCACTCACTCTGTAGAACAGGGGGAGATCATACAAACTCCACTCACTCTCACTGCAGAATAGGGGGAGATCATACAAACTCCACTCACTCTCTAGAACAGGGAGAGATCACACAAACTCCACTCACTTTGTGGAACAGGGGGAAATCACACAAACGCCACTCACTCTGTGGAACAGGGGGAGATCATACAAACTCCACTCACTTACTCACTCTGTGGAACAGGGGGAGATCATACAAACTCCACTCACTCTGTAGAACAGGGGGAGATCATAGAAACTCCACTCACTCAATCTGTGGAACAGGGGGAGATCATACAAACTCCACTCACTCACTCTGTAAAACATGGGGAGATCATACAAACTACACTCCAGCGCTGTCCTACCAGACAGTCTCGTCCCTTCACCTGATGAAGGCCGCTTGTGTTGTGGCCGAAACGTCGTGAGAATATTATTGTGTTATTTTATTTTATTAATTTATAATTTTATTCTCATTCTACGTGACTTTACCGAAAGAACCAAAGAAGATAAACTACACTCACTCTGGAGAACAGGGGGAGATCATACAAACTCCACTCGCTCACTGTAGAACAGGGGGAGATCATACAAACTCCACTTACTCACTCTGTAGAACAGGGAGAGATCATACAAACTCCACTCACTCACTCTGTAGAACAGGGGGAGATTATACAAACGCCACTCACTCACTCTATCGAACAGGGGGAGATCATACAAACTCCACTCACTCACTCACTCTGTAGAACAGGGGGAGATCATACAAACTCCACTCACTCACTCTATAGAACAGAGGGAGATCATACAAACTCCACTCACTTACTCACTCTGCGGAACAGGGGGAGATCATACAAACTCCACTCACTCTGTAGAACAGGGGGAGATCATACAAACTCCACTCGCTCACTCTGTAGA